TCCCGCTTTGGGGGGGGGGAGGGATGGCGCACCAGATGCCCCTCCCCTTCTCCCATCATCATCATCATCATCCCAGTTTTTGTGCCTCGTTTTTATATTATTACTATTATTATTATTGCCCAAATGTGCCCTTTTTAATGGTCAGTTGTATTGTTTTTATTACTCAAACGTTTTTTATTTTATTGCCAATTATCGTGCTACCTCATTTTATTAATAATACTACCTAAATGTCTTTTTTCATTAACATTTATTACATTTTTATAACCAGAAGTGCTCCCTTTACGATATAATCGCTACTCAAACACACCTCTTTTTTTAATCATTATTTACTTGCTGTATTCCTACGTATTGTGATGTGCCCAGCTTGTGCTCCTTTTTGCTGTATCCATCTTGTACTTTTTACTTTCTCTTATGAATTTAAGATCTTATATTTTTATTGTTTGGATTCTGCTGTATTTTCAGTACTAGTTTTATAATGGAAGGAGTGAAGGCTTCTTCTTTGCTGGCACGCTGACCCATTGGATAAGCATTTAGCTCTTCCCCACCCCGTATATTCCTAAAAAAAGAGAGAGGAGGATTTCTTCCTAACACCCACTGACAGGTGTGTATCTCTTTAAAAAGAGGGGGGGCCTGGTGGGAGAAGGTCTCTTCCCAGGCCTGTATGGACAGCAGTAACCAATCCTTTCCTCTCCCTTCCAAAATGGGGTGGTGGTCTCTCAAGGGATACGTCAACCCAAGTGGTGTGTCTTCTTAACTGGCATTTTGCAAAGGCTCTGCGTGTGTGTGTGCCTTTGCTGTTACGGGTTTGCATGTAATGTAAACACAGATGTTTCTGCTTAATTTTCACCAGTCCCTTTTCCAATGAGAGGCATATATTTTAAAAAAGCAGGTGTCTTTTTTGTGGGCTTTCATGGACAGACAGCTGCACGCCATTCATTCAGTTCAGGCTCTAACAGACAGGGGTGGTGCTGTATCTAAGAAAACATTTCAGCCCAACCTGTCTTAAAGTGTACGTGTTTTTCCATGAATATGTTAAATGTTTTTGGAGGTACGAGTATTCTCAATGCAATATATTATTAATGTGTGTATATATATATACATATACACATTATCTCCTCCTAATCCTTTGCTTGTTTTTATGCTGGTGTACCCCTCCCTCCTCTGCTTCACAGTTTGCAAAGATGTGCGTCCTAAAAGGAGCCAAGCCGAATCTTTTTTTCCAGGCCACCATAGAAAGATGCTGCCTGTTTATGCATGAATTCAATCCACCCCCACCCCCCAAAATTGTGAGGTGAGGGATCTGGGAGGGTTAAAATTGTGTATCCTTTTTGTAAAAAAAGAGGTGTGTCTTTTTGTGGCTGTATATTAAGTATACACATGCTTAATACACAGGTGTACAGTCACCTGATTGTAATTTTCTGCATGTTCCTGGAGTAATTGCAATGAGATGCTTTTTTATTTTATTTTTAAAAGAAGGGGTCATTTTATATTCCACCATAGAGGATTGCATCCTTGTAATTCATTTAGCCCATTCCACTTTTCTCTGCCTTCAAAAATAAGTCTGCAGCTGAGTGGTATGGAAGGTGCATTTTAAACAAAGCTGCACTCCCCCCCCAACATATACTTTCAATTTTTTGCTCTCCTTTCTTGTTAGGGTTTCTCATTTTACGAAGCCGCACCATGGAAAAGAAGGGGGGTCTTATAAAATATGTGAAATCCACTTATTCACTGTTTTCTTTTCCCCAAAAAGTGGGTGTTGTTGCAGGCTTTGTCTGTTTTCCTTACACAAATAATATTTTCTCTAGACCAACAAAGCACATCATTTTATTTATTACAGTATTTTTAGGCTGTAGTCACGGTTATGGGAGAACTCAGGCATTGGGTTAACAGGGGCTTACTTTGGAGTAGAAATGCAGGAGGGTTGTCCTGCCACGACTGCCTTTCTGTTAAAAATGTCAATGCTGCCTTCAGTGTTACAAAAGAATAAGGAAATACCTGCACAAAAATAATAGATGTTCAACGAAAAAATAAGATTCAGCTACCAAATTCAGGTAAACGATGTTCAGACTAACACACCCTTTATTTCGCCCTATCCACACAACACAATACGTATGTATGTGTTATCGTGGCATGGTTGAAATCTAGCTCATTTTGATCTGAGAGAACCCAGCTCTGCGTGCAGGCTGTAGTTCGTTAACCAGCTGTTATCTACAATTAGAATTTATGCTATATTGATCATTACGAGCTCTGGCCAAAACTGGTCCTCTCCCCCATAAAATCGCCCCATATTCTGTTCCTAGAATCAAAAGGTGGGTATAAGCGAGCATATTTCGTGGTAAGAGCCCCTTAAAGGGAGATTGCAGAGGGGCCGTGATGTCCTTTGGACATCTGTCAGATTTGCTCTTGGGAGTTGCTGACCCACAATGGTGGTGGGGGGGAGATGATGTCTGGGTTCGTGGCTCCGTTACAAGGCAGTGAAGCGGAGAGGCTTTATCTTTAGTCTGTTAGTGGGGACGGTGCTCGAGTTTCTGCTTACGGTTGTATGTTCTCTGAGGCCTCCAGGTCACTTTGAGGTGCCCGAGGAAGGCAGCCGGTGAGAGGGTTCAAAATGTTCTTTAC